GGCACCTCGGAATGATTGTGTTAAGCTAGCACTAAGCGGCTCCCCCGTCAGTGTGTATTCTTTTCCTTACAATAAGGCTTTCAAATAAGTCATGGTTGTACGGCAGTGAAGCATCGGTGTTGAACACTGATGTCATGCTGTCGGTGATGATGATGATGATGATGATGGTGATGATGATGATGATGTGTTAGCCAAATTTCCATACTCCTTCAGGTGCTAGAACAACGCCATATGTATAAGTGACCCACAATTCTAGTATTACTGAATTCCCAAGGCACATTCGACTCGGTTGATCGGTCTGTTCTTCCTGACATGCTTGCCCACCATGGAATGCCCCGGAAGCTTGTGAACATAAGACGTTCTTTGTATTCTGACTTCCGGACGCGTGAGTATACGGAGAGCTCTCCAAAAGCTTTCGTACACAAACTGGGGTCCGTCAGGGATGCCCGTACTCCTTATTCCTTTTTAGCTTAGTGATCGATGAGATAGTGAGACGAACGCTGGAAGGTGTCCAAAACCCTGGTGTCCAAATAGCTTGTGACGAAAACCTTGTCGATCTGAAATACGCAGACGACATCGTTCTTAGCTTCGAAGAGAAGGCGCAGGCGTTTTTGGATGAACTGACTAGTCACCCCGTCCTTTGGTATGCACTTTGCACCCACAAAGTACAAGGTCATGCCCCCGGACATTCAGTCATTGAATGTCCTAGAGGGAAAGCATTCGAAGTTGTGGAGTGTTCTACATATTTTGGAAGTTGCATTAGTTCCGACTGCAGTGTGACGGATGAGTTCAGCTCACGAATCTGCAAGGCCCGGGTCCCGTTTACTAAGTTGAGACACCTATGGCGTCAAAGTGTATCCCTGGATCGGTGCTGCTCGCCTTCTCGAATGATGACTGCTTGATCACTGCGCCTGGTTGGGATGCTATCAAACCGATGTCAGTTTCTACCTAGATTGCCTGAATGTGGTAGGCAGATGTAGGCACCCCGGAATGATTGTAGTAAGCTAGCACTAGGTTCCTTCCCCCTTCCACCTTAATTGTTTTCTTCACAATACGGCTCTCGAATAAATCAAGGTTGTGAGGCAGCAATTGGTGTCGAACACTGATGTCCTAGTGTCGATGACAATGACAGGGGGAGCTCAATGCTTGGATATAGTTGTGTTCGGGATCTAAACTCAGTGAGCGGAATCAGCGCAGCTGACTGAGTGGGGTCATCCAGTTGAATTGGACTCAGTAGGGACGACTGCTGACGACTGTTTCACCGATCTGCAACCTAATGCTGCCACAACGGATTGCGTATCGTATACCTTATACCTCTCGAGCTGAGGTCTCGTTACTTTATTAAATCCCTGATGGATGGAGATCATAACGCACGAGTAGGAGGCATCGTCTCATCAGAAGCACAACTTAGTGGCCATCTTATCTTCAACTGGAGTCCAAATACTGATTGTATTTCCCGGCCCTCTGCTGATCAACAATGGTGTTCCAACAGTACAGTTTACCCCTCCGGCGTCTGGGTACTGATGAACCACAATCGAACCAGATCAAATATATAGCCACTAGCGGGACTCCAATCTTTCCGAAATATACGTCAATTCTGACAGTGCTCTCGGCTGACGTATATTTTCTGTAAAATTTCCCAAGACAACGTAAGTTCCCCGCTTAGCCACAGAAAAACTTTCTGACTTACAAGTTAAACGAGCCCATCAAAGAAATCTACACAGAGCTTTGGAAAGTACATCCTCGGTAGACAAGATATGCGCCATTATACACGCAGTAGGACATGTGACGCTTGTGAGCGCACACAAGATAAGCTACTATCACCTGCGTGCGAGTAGACAAACCCGGTGGAATAGGAAGGTTCTGGAAAAGGGAGATTGGTACATCTGGGAACTGCTTCGCCCCACAGACGTGAGGCTAGGAGATATGGTATTGTAAATTTACCATACAAGGACTAACGTTTTGACGAAAGTAACACCGCAGACAAGCTGTAAAACCCTTTCGTTATTTGGATGCCACGTCATGCGAAGGAACTACGTGGGCTGATACTGGCAGGCTTTCTAAACTCAGCCAAGAGTAATCGAGATGCCTGGGATGGAATTCCAACTATGAATCTTCCCGTCAACAAGTCAGTGTCCTAGCCACCGAGCTATCCCAGACTCAATCGACTCCACGCCTTTTCTTCAGTCATTAACCACGCCTTTCTTCCAGTCATTAAGTTAACGTCTTAACCACTGAGACACCTCGAACTCATGCCGTATAGCATCGATTAACCAGAAATACCTGGTCCTAGGAGAAATGCCCACGAGCCGAGGTCTCGACTTCGGAAGTAAAGCAGGAAGAGTCCTTTGTTATACAAGCAAACTTATCTGCAGACTTTTATGCCAGTTGTGCGTGAGTTTTAAGTTGCGGCAAGACAGTCATAATGTAGGAACCTATGGTTATACACAGAACCGACGAGCTAAGGAAGGCGTGTCGACCGGCTTCGCAAAATCTCGGAAGGTCAGAAGGCGAGGAGCTAGCAGGAAAAACAGAACTTACCTCTGGATTCATCCGCTTCACCGCTGCGGCTGCGACTGTCGATTTCATCTTGGATATGTCCCAAGGACGGAAAAGGAATTGCCGGTTCAAATTAGAACGCTCAATTGAGTCCATGTCGGTAACTGTAACCTTCCCAGAGGGACTGGCTCCCACGCCCATAAGCGCGAAGTTCTTTAGAAGTTCACAGCCAATTGCCCCAGCGCCCACCTAAGCGTGTGTTAGAGAACAAATAGGATATTACCATGAAATACTTTAACCGGTTCAATTTCTCCTGAAACTGATGCCCGAAAATGGCTATTTGACCATCATACCGAGATCCTCGAGGAGCCGCATCACCCTCGCCAACGACCAGCTCCTTGTTACATTTCTCTGCCGCTACGGACACCGAGGACGGTAAACACTCGATGGCGTCAAAATAACTCCATTGCATTAGGGGTTTGAACTTTCCGGTACATGCTTTTAAAGCTTCCTGGGCTGCAAACCCACCAATAACCGCCTGAACCGGGCAACACTGTCCATTGGATGTGTAGGCAAATAAGCTGCAAAGGTGCTCATCTAGCTCGCTAACGAACGCACCAGTATCCTTCAGGGAAGCATTCAAATTACGAACACACTGAATGAACTCCTGCGCATCAGACTGATTCCACGTTCCAGGGTAGGCGCCCTTGTGCTTTTGGGCATAATCAGACAAAGCAGCATAACACAGGTGAATTTGGGATGGACGGTCAAACTTGGTAAAGTCCGTGACTAGGAATTCCGGTTGAGAAAAAGCGTCTGCATATGGTTTCTAAAAGAGTGGATCAGGACAAGGAAAAACTTACGAAGGTCAGTGTTTGCGGCATTTTTACCTTAGTACAAACCCCACCTGATAAATAGTCACTCAATGTCGATGTATCACCGATAACAAAAGCATCCGGCCCTGAGACAATAGATAATGACTTCCCGATCACCTACCGATAACTTTGACTTTCCGCGGCTCACATCCATTGAGTTCAGTCATTCCTTTTACTTCAGAAAACGTTACGTAGTCTCCATCCTCAAAATCATGCCGCGTTTCTTCCAAACAAGTAACCAGACCCTGCTTAGACTAAACGGTACTCGGGACATTAACGGATATTACCTTTTCGATTTGTTGGATCATCACTGAAGGTGGATCCTCACCAGTGGGATCAGACACGACGAACTCGGCTCCAAAATCGCAGAAAACTTTCCCGAAAACTCCGCTCGTTGCAGCGGCGACGAATTTAACACCAAGGTCATGACAAACCTTGCCAATCTCTAAACATGTTTCGTGGGAACCTTGTGTGAAGACAACCACTGTGAACTTCCGGATATCTTCTGATGTAATCTTCGGCTTATTTAGCACATGGACTGATACGTGGTTGTTCAGCTCGGCTAACTTATGTCTGGATACCTCCGCCTTCCCGTGTCCTATGTCATCAGAGCCAGCGAAAAAGTGGGAAGAGAGGTCACTCCAACTAACGGGATCGGGGTCGTGCAGCGTGACAGATCGGACCCCAGCAAGTATTATGTTCTTCGCCACCTCAACCCCCAAACCGCCGAGGCCTGAAACTAGAATGTCAGCGGTTGCCATCCGGCGCATTCCTTCGGTTCCGAGAACATACCTATGGGGTTTTCGTAAGCAAGTAATGAAAGACATACAATTGACGGCTGTAGAGCCCTTCATCCAATTCCTCCACCTCACCGTTCGTCTCCATTCCCTAAACACAAGTCGTCCGCGAGTGAGCAAAAACTTACGTTTGAGTGATTGAACGTTTCGGGTACGCTTAGGTCGTTGTGCTGGTTGGAGTCTACCAAACAAGATGTACGTTGCCTCTTCAGTGGAGGAGATGAAGACATCTAAGCACCATAAGATTCATTAAACCGCCCTGAACAGCTGAGAGATCCACCCGAATCAGTGGTTTAAAACGTCTGACCTGTGGGTTCGAACAAACAAACTTCGGGATCCTCAGTTCAAATCGTGCACAGGATCATGGGCCTCGGAGTTCACTGCGGGTCCAGTGAAGCTGTAGTCTCTCGATGATCCTGTGTGGCAAACATGAATTTGGGAGAATAAAAATAAAGCTTTCAGTAGCAATGCGCGAATTGTGAAATGCTTTTCAATCTTGGACATTCTCGCATTTTCTGTTAACTTTTCCTGCTTTTCGTGCGGAGATACATTTACTTTCGCTTTTTCACTGTAGCAGACAAGCACCAGATGAGGAAGAACCAATTTTTTGCTTATTCTGGGTCAATGGTATATTACTTTTCATGCGGCTTCACATTAATCAGGATCTTCGCCCATAACTATCTGCGGGGTTTTTCATGCCCCTTCGAGAGAACAGCTGAAAACAGTGCCAAACTTTAACCGTAGACACTGAGTCGGTATACAGTCAGTATCTTCATTTCTGAATGGTGAAGTAACTTCACCGGTAAAATGTAATGACACTAAACAGAAGGAGGTTTTCAGCGGTTATGGGAAACAATGAAGGTCCGCTATTGCCAGTCAGCCGTCTCAGTCTGCGGATTATTCCGCGGCTCCAGAAGTTCACTGATCAAGAAGGATGTTAACGCACACATCAAACGGACGTCCACGCTCTGGCTTCAGTATTCTCCAATTCTACCGTTTTTATAGAAGGGACGTCGAACTCGATCAATGAAAGTCACTCCACATCGACGTTTCAAGCTCCGGTTTGGTGTCCGCACCCAAATCTCGTTGAGCTTCACTTGGTTCACTTGGACAACCACGACATTGCTGCGGCTGCCGGTCAAAAGTCTCACCGTACAGGTTGCGCTAGATAATATTTTCTACCAAGCTGGAACATGTCCCGCATCTTCGGATCAGCTTCATTGTTGCAGGAAAAAGGTGCTTCTAGGTCTTAACGGAGTTCGTCAAATATCCTCACGCAGCAGCCGTTTTAGGGTACCATTGTTGTATCCTATGCGGCCAACAGACGTTCTGATTAAAAGCTTCTTACCAGTGAGTGGAAGCCTTCTGTGGCGGATGTTATTTCTGGTGCTAACGCTGCTAATCAACGTCGGCGAATAGGTTGGCCCCAGGGAGGCCGGGCGAACCAGTTGACCCTGCTGACTTTTGGGCTGACTTTATATGTGCTGAGCAACAACCTCCAACGGATCTCGAGGGGTTGGTTTGTCCGCTCAAGCAACCTGTCCACTTGCGAGTAATAGAGGTTTTGCAGCTGAGAGCATTATGCGGCCAATGGACCCCAGTTGTACGCCAGCCGTAAATGGACTAACAACTGTTCGCGATGCGTCGTCACCTACTCAGTGGGTGCGCGTAACGCCGGAGAACAATCCAATCGACGTTGCCTCTTGAGGGACGTGCAACCTCATTCCGCTGCGTGGATGGTTAGCTGGACAAAGATGTTTACTCGAACAAGATAGTAACTGGCCTCCACATCCTCGGTTGAGCCCGCCCCAGTTAAAGAGCTTTGTATTGCATGTTCATAAAATTGAACGAAATGATGGCATGTGTCTACTAATAGCCAGGTTTCCGTGTTGGGTAAAGCTACGGAAGGTTGTAGCCTGGTCATTAGGTTACCACCAATATCTACCGATTAAACCAGGCAGGGTGAGAAAAAGGGTTCCACCCTCTGGTGGAGATGCGCCTCGTGAAAAATGGTCCGCAGTGGTATCATACGGTTGAGGCGAGCTCAGATGGTTTAGGAGGAGCCTCGCATGTTGAAATGGCGGGCTGCCTTCTCAAGGCTGATATTTGAAAGGTATGGTTACTGGGAAGGCGCGATTAGGTTTATACATCCATCGTGACAGGAATGCAGTTGGACCCTAAGTGTTGGTGGCTGATGGGGCACGTAAGAATAGGGCCGAGCATAGGTCAAATGCAAGAAACCGGGTGTCCGCTGAATCAATCAGCCGGGCGGCCTATCGCCCATTAAGTCCCGCACTTTTGTGTTTAGTGCGATCGTTTTTAGCGTTTGTTTTCCTTACCATTTCACCCAATCGGCCTTAAGGTCATCCAGCTATTTGTGGCCGACTCTATACGCGTGTGACTGTCTTACTTGGGAGTCTGCTTACTCATTTGGTTCGTATTTTTGTAGTCCAAGTGGACCGTTTGTTTTGGACGAGCATCTACTGTCGAGGTTTGTATAATTTTCGAATTCGTCTTACATTATTATTACCGCATTGAAACTCACTTCCAACGTTGCTTTTCCTTCCCGGAGGTTCTGGTATTACGCGCCACTCAAAGATACGGTTTGTTCATAACAATAGTCTAGAAATGGATGATTTTACTGTGCTATTTGTTCGTCCAATATTCACCCATTTTTATTTTCCCAGTCTAAAATGCCAATAACTTGACTTGTTGGTAAACTCATGGATTTCCCCTGGCACTTGTGTGAATCGGCCACTGAGTTTGAGGCTTCGGTATGAACAACACTGGTCAACAATGCCGTTCAGCACCTGGCGAATATGAACGATCTCTCGGAAACTACAATGTTTTCGAGGCAACCACCTCACTTAAGATGCTTATGTCCAATGTGTTCTGCAAATTCTTAGTGCAAGTGAGTTGATTGAGTTAGCGATTTTTCAAGGTTAACAAATACTCCAACTTGAAAAAAGTGCCTAATGGAATGGAATATCCCGAACTGCCGGGAAATGTAAGTCATTTAAAAAGGGGAAAAGGTGCGGGCAGTCCTCCAACCATGGGATCAATTGTCGGAACCGGCTAAAACATGGAGAACAGCCGTTGGCGAAAAATAAGCGGGAGGATGACCCCTCCATCTGAATGTAGCTCGTGATCCTCTACCGGAATGGACGTATTCAGAAACCTGTGTCCTCGCTCCTCGATGATTGTTAGTTCGAGTAACCAACGTGGCATTAATTCGTACGAAGTTTGGAAGACGTAAGGCTTGTGGTGGATCAGTTTTTCCCACAGCACTTCATTATTAGCATAAAAGGCGTAAATGCTGTCATCATTTGAATATTATCTGGGCTCGTAGGTTCAGTTTTTCGATGAACCATTTAATATCACCTAGAAAATAGTGAGATTCGGTCTGCTGGCAGCAGAGCACCTCAATAAAATTTGCAGGAAATAACAGTATTTTGTGATTGGCCACGGGTAGTCGCATATTAATCTGAGGCCGGAGATGGGCCTGGCAACCTCGGAATACAACCACAAACATTGAGCCTCCCCCTAAGACAGGGTAAACCTTAAAATTCCTGGTTCCACCTGCCAAACGATGGTGTCGTTGCTTGTACATTAAGGCTGATATCAAGCTGGGACTGCTTACCGAGAATTATTCTCCAAGAAATGGTGGACTAACCTGAAATACATAGAGCCTCAGTAAGGGATGAACAGACTAGAATCCCGTCGGCACCGAAACTGAAGGAATTGGTCGTATAGTCGCAATGAGGAGTGTTCCTACTTCGGAAACGGGCGTAGCCCAACTTGCACACCAAGATAGCAGGCACGGTCGAGCACTCGGTCCTTACTAGAGTTGGAAAGCGTTCCCATATTGCACACTTTAGTAGAATAATCTTAGTTTTCTATCTCAAATGAACACAATAAGGCAACGATGCTGGAATTATGATATCAACTCATGACTTCCAATTTAACTCCCCCAGGAGCAGAAAATCTGGACGCACACAAACTCCTGGGATAGTGTGTTGGAGCGCTGTGCTTTGATCAAAGTCAATTTTAAAACATTATCGATTGACGAACATGGGGAACTTATGAGTATACGGAAGTCACATCGCCTGGTGGAAAGGGCGCGTGCGTCGACCGGCACTGATGTCAACTGGCCAAGAGCACCTTTGGTTTGCGCAGGAAACTATGCTTTAGTAAACTTAGAGTTATTTCTGGCGATGCAGCCTCTGGTAGCGGTCATAGGTGCCCAAAACGAAGGTGGACGCGCAGGTGGCCATTTTGCAGACCGAGCTTATAATTTAGCCACCGCCCTCCAGGATTTCCCTTCGGTCACAATTATACGACATATGCACCTGCGCGAGCCATGTAGCATTCCAGAAAGCCCATTGTGTGGCATAATTTAGATCGTTTAGTTGGTTCGCACGCTTTTTCAGACCTCCATTGGTATTCTGCAGATGCCTGTCGGTCATATTGCTAAAGTCGAACATCCCTGACCGTGTGCGCACGGTCTGTTTGCGGGTGGCGCAAAGCCGGTGAACCGTGTGGCAAGCGACAAATGTTAGGTCCACTCAGCGGCACCCAAGTGCTAACAATATGACAGGCAGACAACCCACTGTGCACAATTGCCTAGACGAGCCACACGGTGGAATTTTGTCGGCTGCTTGCAGTGTCCTTGGGGAAATATACAGATGTTATGTGTTGGGCTCCAGCCACCGTATTGCTTTGCGAGTATGAGGATTATCTGCGGCTGCTTAGCGTTTTGATACATTTAATAAAAGTCAGAAAAGTTCGCACTGAGTGCGCGGAAATCGGTCCTATTCACTGGAATACTGCCTGCTTGTTAGAGAAATTAGGGGAAATAGTTGGTTTATGGGAAGTGAAAACAGACCGTAAAACACCTGGCCATTTGCTCAAGAAATTGGACATAAATCCAAAGGAAGCGTTCTTTTGAGTGTATGTTACACTCAGCAGGAAAAAGTAGACATGCTGAACTACGGATGAGGCACCACACTGGGTGTGGCAGTCCCGGCAACATCAACATGACGTAGTGCCTAGGCCCGTGGACAGCCTGTACAATGAAAATATTGCATGAGTCATTTGGGTTGCCAGGATATTTGGGATTGCTCAAAAAATTGCTACAAATTAAGACCATGACGATTCACGGACCGTCGGGGGCACAGCTGGTTCCTTGATGCCATCAGACTGTAGCCTAAAATAGCAGACAGCTAATAGTGGTTACAATTCTTAAATATATTGTTGAGGCGACACTGCGTGATTTAAAAAAACAGTGATTGACGTTCTGGTGAAGATGATAGGGAATGGTGGTATGTGATCGAATGGAACCGGCCTTTGTAACTGCAAAAATGGGAAACATCCGTTGGTCAAGCTTAACGTCACTAAGTTTGAGGGTGGTTAGATAATCGCCCACAAAGTTCGTCAAACGTGTAAATAGACGGTTCCCGAAATTGCGGTTGAAGCGTAGGTGCCTTTTTAGCTACCTCTTATTACAAGGCGGTCAGTTTGTATGCATCTGTGGAGCTGGGACTATCATGTATTTGAGCCCACTTAGGTAAGAAATAGGACTGGCAATTCATTGCAATCAATTTTTGGAGTGGTTTAGTAACGCTCATTCGGAGAGTGGGTTGGGAAGCTACAGACAAATGAAAGTTCCCATTTGGAGGCCATGGTGAAAAGTAGCGCAACGACTGATTATATGGATAGCCTTCTGATATTACGTGCTGCGTGAAAAGAAGTGTCAAATAATCCCGAAATTTCGGTGAGCCTAGATAAACTAGTGGTTTAAAGCATGCAAGGTGAAGTGATCGGAATGGGCGTGAAAGACATGGTCACGTTGCACAATTGAAAGATGCGGTGAACCCAGTTTAACACAATAATAACCTGTGGAAAAGGGCGAAGGCTTTGCAAAACGAAATACGCCAGGGGCGTCACGCCGCACGCATTTGTGGATGTGTTAGATTTTACACGAGACACCATCTTTTAACCATTCTACTATCGGTGTTTTGGATTTTCTCGCTGGGCTACAATCTACCGCCATCTTTCCCCACCATGTAATAGCCTGTCTCAAATAGTCCAATATCGAGCCTCCTTGATAGCCACCTCGGTGGCTGTCCTTATCTTTCGAAAATTAGGCACCTACTCCGGCCCAGCTAGTACTTGGTTTCTGGGTCGGTCAACAAATCCACCATTTCCTTGGTTCGGTTAGCTTGCTGTCATTCCTCTTAGATTTCTTCACTGACACCGTTATATCCGGTACTCCCTGGCATTCATCAGATGCTATCACGTTCATCGTGCTCCATCCTCGTTGCTCCCTTCCAAAGCCTCAAAATTTGGCTTAGTTGCTCAAACGCCATGTACAACCGTAATTCATTCAGTCTGGTTTGTCCTTGGTCTACACCCACATAGTCCTCCTGCCGGTTAGAAATCTTTCGTGATTCTGCATTTGTCTGGCGCTACTTGTGTCGGATTCCTAGTTCAATCCAGTTTCAGCTGCCACGGTAACGCGTATTCCCTGTCCGACTGCGGCAACCTTGATAACCGTCGCGTGACTATCCGGAAACGAAAACATGTAAGTGCAATGATGGCATACCACCGCCATACACAGCCTGATGGCACTTTCTCAACTATACATTGCCTACTTTTGGCGATACATTGTCTCCAACTTGTTGAACCGCCTGCAACTGAAAACAACTTTTTCGCCTAGCCCCAGTCGCCTCCAGGATACGTTCACTCTAATCTTCTGAACCTTCCTTCCGAATGTAAAAATCTCGATGATTTTCATTCTATGCCCTTCAGAAAGCCCGCCGTTTTTATGCAGTATGCGTTTCCTTCCGTTCGTCAGCACCAGCTGCCTCTCCATTGAGCGTATACACCCAACACGTCGCCAAAAGTGGTAATAATAATGTTTGTTTTCAGCTGGTGGGTAACATGCCATCAGTGACACTAGTGTGTCTCTGCAGCTTCAATGTACCCCGTGACACTGAGATTCCTTCTACAATTTGTACTCATTGCTGATTCCTCTAGCTCGTCATCCCCACTTAGGCTTTTGTGAGAGTGACCATAAGCCCGACGTTCCAAGGCCTCATCGGTGGTTCTCGGATATAATTCAAATTGACTGGCAAGACCTCAGCAATCCTGCAGCTGCACCAGACTCATTGTTCTGGTTCTGAATTTTTCGCGATTTGAATTTTTCTTGTCATGTGCCAGGCAGTAGGCCTTTCTTGCCCTCCCTCGTTCTGTTTTGCCCGCCACCTTCAGCTCCTTACAATCTCACTTTGTCTCAACTTGATGGGCTTCCGAAAAGTGAAATAAACCCCTGGTAAGTGTGTTTGGACGTGACCAATACATCGTACGTTTCCAACTGTTTATGACTCTCCGTTTTTCGCTCAATACCCGGTACCCGCTAATCCCTAAGTCGTGCTTTGTTCTGACTGTAACCGTGTGATCACACTTGGCGGTAAGCCACTCAATAGTTGGGAATAAACAATGTCATCGTGTTATCATTATAAGTCTGCTGTTGCTTTTGTTTTCACGTTATGTTTAAAAGGTCAGGGCTTTTGCTACCACCAAAAGTAAGTAATAACAATCGGGAGTGGGGTGAAGTTTGGATTTAGTACTCTAAGTGGATATATTTTAAACCAAGTACCCACCAAATAGATAAATCGTTGCTGCAGGTATCTCCGTGAGTAAACTTTCAAAGACACATGAGGTCCTTGAAGTTTTGCCCTTTAGTTTACAGCTGCTTTGTACATACCATGCTTAGCATTACTGGGCAGACGTATGATAATTGAATGTTTGCATTGCAACATCGGTGTACACGGGAATGCTCCATTATCAACAGTGAGACTGACCGAGCAAGTAATGGTTTTGTCTTTATAACAGTGAGATTTCCGAACACTTTCACCCATGGCATGTAATTGCTCGCATGTATAATAATAACAATTTTTTCCCAACTTGCGGGAGTCCTGCCGTTGGCATGATCATG